ATACAATCAAAATGGACCAAGTTTAAATGAACAAAGCGAAAGAGTGAAATAAAAAGCGTCGAGGCAAGTATATATGTATGCACATATATAGGTATATCGCCACCAACTACACACAATCTGTAATCGTTGTGGCGATATAAAAACACACACGCACACATTTTCACAAATACACGTGCACACAATCAAATGACGACTCAAATGCAAAGTGAGCTCAAAACGCGTACATATGTACATATGTATGTATGTATATAAGAGTCGCGAAATGTTAAATGAAAGAGCCAGGGTTAAAAATGGCCCGACCGATCGTGCTAGCGAATTAAATGCGAAAACCTCGAGCCAACAAAACAGTACAGGCATTTTATTGACGCCTTTGCAAGAGGGTAACAACGGCAAAAGCAGCAGCAAAACGAGCAATAACATCGAATCAAACGTACATATAAATAAATAAATTTATTTACATACACTTATACAACCAAAAATACTCTTATACACATACATGCATACCACATTATTTTATAAGTATAAAGCACTTTAAACACACACACACATGTATGTGCGAGTACGTACTATATGCATATAAATATTAAGCAGTATAACAGTGGGTAACAAAAGTACTCGAATGTGTTGAAAATTTAATAGATCTTAAAGTTATGAAAGATTGAATTAAATAAGTTGTTATGAGCTTAGCTGAAAACGTTGCTAGTGGCGTAAAGCTGAAACTAAACAAATAGTGTTAGGGGTTAACGTTTGTTTGCTAAATTCTTTCTAAATTGAAAAAAAAAAATATTTTTTCCGTCACAATAATTTATGGCGTAACATAAAATATGACTTAAAATAAAATATGGCATAAGATAAAATATAACTTAAATTAAAATATGGCATAACATAAAATATGGCTTGAAATAAAATATGACATAACATAAAATAGAACTTAAAAGAAAATATAACTAAATATGGCTCAACATAAAATATAAACTAAGCTAAAAAATGAAAACAAAAATAAAATTTAACTTAACTATATTATACATATAAATTTTGAAAAAAAAATACAGAATACGTGCATACATTTGCTAAATACAAAATGTTAAAAGTTCCGAAACACTAAATAATGCATTGGCAAAAACTAAAAATATGATTTAATATTAAGTCTGGCTAACCATAAAAATATGACAGACATAAGATATTATGAAACTTAAATATTGTCAACCATAAAATGAAAATAGACTATAAATATTGTTAAATATAAAATCTTGCTAAACATAAACTGAAGACGAACATAAAATTATGGCGACCATAAAATATGGCTAAATATCGAATATTATGTATAATCGGCGCTGCATAACCACTGAAGTGATTTACACTGATTCAATTTGTGGAGAGACACAGAAATACACTCCGAAGGATTGACAAGCTCTATCGTGCGGCGACCGCAATTAGAAAAAAATTTGCCTCATTTTTTATTTTAATTAATTTTTTTAAATTTTTGTAGCTGGGCATGATCTTCCGCGGCCACCAGGTTACCAATAAAAATTGGCTAAACATAATATATGGTTAAACCGAATCAAAGCAATATATAAAATATAGCCAAAACAAGAAATTGTTAAACATGAAATATGATGAAAGAAAAAATTCTTGCAAACATCAACATATTAACTAAACATAAAAATTATACTAAACATAAAATATGTCTAAACATAAAATATGTCTAAACATAAAGTATTACTAGACACAATATATAGAAAACCATAAATAAATAATCAACAAAATTTGTCAAGACATAAAATATGGGTCAACATAAAAGGTACAACAACAAAAAATATATCGATACAAAAAATAATTAAACTCTTTTGACATTGTATTGGCCATTAGAACATAGAAATTTTTGTATGTACATATATGAGTATATGTATGTATGTATGTATGCATATGTAAAAAGCCATTGGTATTTATAGGGTGTGGATTATGAGTTGCTAACGCTTTATTAAGCAAATCATTTGAAAATTGTGTCATAAATAAAGTTCATACTCGTATGCATATGTATGTGTGTGGACTTTAAAATATAATATTTATATAGACAGCGATCAGTGATCAACAAAGATAATCAACCAAACATAGCAAGCCAGCTCAAACGACAGAGGGTTGATGGGTTATAAAATACCTTTGTGGCACCAATTTTTTACTTGGTTGATTGGCTACGTGGGTCATTCGGCACAATGACAAGATTGCGGCAAAAACTATTTTGGGGTTCGTCAATGGAATTGTGGATTTAAGAAGCGCCTCTGCTGCCAATAATTTATACGTTCATATGTACAAACATTTGTATGTAGTACGAACTTTTTAAGTCTACATACATATGTATGAATGTAGTATGTACATATGCATATATATGTAAATATTTATATGTTTTCGAAGGTTCAAAGCGCTACAATCATTCGTAACTTGGCTGAGAACATATTGCCGCTAATGAAAGCATGTTGTCCAGAAAAAATATGATTTATTGATAATACATATGTACATGTAAACAATATGTATGTACGTGCATACACACATACTGTTCGCGTCACAATTGGGCGTATAAAAATGTATATTTAGTTTAAACATTCCATACTTCCCGCATTCTTGGCCGCCTCTTGCGACAAAAGCATCCACATACATATACAATGCACATACATATACAATTTTCCTTTATTAAAAAATTGCTTGAAATTTTAATTTTATTATTATTAATACGCTTTCCTTTTGTTGTTGTTAACGTTTTTGTTGTTGTTGCTGTGGTATTGCTTGCCGTTTCTAGCGTAAATCACTCAACCAGCATAAGAATTTTGTAAACCCGTGTGCATGTGCACATTCAACGATTAGTATCCACATACAGCCGCGTAAACATATTTACATAGTATGTATATACTTAATATGTACATATGCATGTTTGTTTGTACAAATGTCATTTGTGAGCCAAGTTTGCTCTACTTTATGATTGCTACTTGTGGCGTGTCATTCAGTTTTGATTTCATTTCATTTTATGCCTCAATTGAGTTGCAGACATGCAAACACACACACACACACCGGCATAAGTATGTAGAAGCACACATCCATAGTAGAGATGTAGATAAATTTATTTGCGGGGGTAGATCGCTGTTATTTTGCAGAAGCCGTGTGTATGGCCTATAATAACTGTATATTTCAAGCAAAGAATTTGATGATGCTGGTGGAATCAGTTGCATACACACATACATACATACATGCATACATACATACTATTTATTAGCGCTATAATGGATGTTCCACCTCTGTGGCGCAAGTACAAAGCTTCTAACTGAGTTAACTAAAGATATTTTTTGTACTACGATTTCGCTGTTTTTTGTTGTTATTCATTTTTTGACCGAATAAAAATCCAAACCCGGATCCTTCCTATATAAAAACCCTTCTGTCGCGGAGGCTAACAGATTTAAGTCGTCTCTTGCGACAGACACGCCTCACATCGAGGAAATTTTTGAACGCCTAAACCACATGAATGCTCTGATTCCTCTGTTATTGTTGTAGCGGTTCGCTAACCACGCTTAAGAGCAGTCTAGATCAGTCCAAGTCATCGAAGTCATCTTACGTGAGGTCCATGAAATGAACTGTTACGAATGGTTCGGGCCATAGGGAAAGGAGGCTTAGATAAGCATGCAGAGATGGTTAGTGTCGTTCGGGGACTCATTACAATCAGTATAGGTAGGAGTTTATATCTATATATACTATACCTAATTGGATTTTTGTATACCGCTAAAGCGATTTTTGGCCTAGCTCTTACTCCAATTTGTGGTTTTGCGTATTGATGTTTTTCCAACAAATGGAGGGACCTACACTTTGTACTAAGCCGCTTGCGAGCGACTGAGGGTTTTTTACGAGGAGCTTTGATTTCCATTTCAGAAATACACTCGGAGGGGTTGACATTTCCTGCCGAGGGGCGACCGTAATTAGAAAATTTAACTTATTTTTTTCATGTTCAATTAATTTTCTATAACTTGGACGTTGGTCGAAACAGGATCTGAACCTAGGCCTTCCGAATGGCAGTACGCAATGCTAACCACTCGGCTACCGCGTCCACAGTGCAACGTGACAGCTCTTGTCCATATAAAATCCGGGTCAACTCCTCTTCGTAGAACTGGTTATCGGGTTATCGAGAGAGTTGGTTATAAGCCCGCCAAAAAAGCTTATTTCTTCGACCTTTCTTTAGAAGATTCGATGCCTATTTTTAAATGGGGTCAAATAAAAGCTGTAATCTTCGTATATCTTTATCTAATAAGAGGTTCAGGAAATGCGCTGTTTCCACGGTCACGGACTAAAGCCAGGGGAAGGGGTGGTGAGAGTAGTACAGGATCGAATCTGGATAAGAAAGAGTACTATAGCGAGTCTTTCTTTGAGTCACCTAACACCACTCCTTCCTTCAGTCCGATACCGTAGAATTCGATGATGATATAAACCAACATATTTTCTTATTTTAATCTAGACTTAAACCTTCATTGATGGCATACATTTCGCTCCTCTGCAGTTAATAATAATCAACCAGGAGTCTACATACATATATACCTGGATATATGATATGTAAATAGGTATGTATATTGATATTTTCTCTATTCTTCAAATATTTTGTAATTCAATAATTCAGGTGTCGTCATGCACACGCTAACAGCCTTGAGTCTTAAATGTGCGTCAACGATTCGAATCTACTGAATATACATACATACATATACCTATTCCAATCGCAGCTCGAATAACTTTTTAAAGACGAAACCGTTTTGAATCATTTCACCTTTGTAGCTATCAACACCACGAAACTACAATAATAAAGGCAGCGATAACAAGGACAAGAATATTCGATGCGAGATATTGCAATAAAACACTATTCAAACACACATGCTTTCACCTTTGTAAAATAACACACACTTTTCCTACTGGGCATATGTACGCACACTTGCGAAATAAATAATTCTTAATAAACATTGCACTCTACTCACTTTCTCTCTCGTATGACATCGCGCAAAAAGTCCATCGCCTCGTATAGACTCCACTTCGGCTTGAAACCATTGCCCATCAGCTTCACATGCGCCAACTCGCGTCGATATGATTCTCGTAGTGATTTGAAGGCGCGCGCCACACGCCGCCCCGGCGCATTGAATTCCTTGCCGATCATTTCCCAAGCACGATTCTTCTCCTCTTCAGCACCCTTGAAATTGGGCAGGCGAGAGTCCCAAAGTATCGGATTGTCATGTACCATTTGGATGAGACGCAATTTGTCGGAGGCATTACGGCGGACCACTGCAAGTAAATCGAGCGTAAGTAAAAAGTTTTCTTTTGACGATGCATATAGTTGTTGTTGCTGTTGTTGTAACTGTTCAGCTTCAGCAAATTGGCGTTCTTGTTCAAGTCTAAATTTTTTATTCATAAATTTGCTAGTTTTAGTTTTCAGTTGTTGTTGTTGTCGGTAACGTTTTGTATGTGATTGTTGGTGTTGTGTTTTAGCTTGTTGCCGCTGCTTTTGTTGGCGCTGCAACGATATTGGTATTTGTTGTCGTTGCAGCTGCTGCTGTTGTTGCTGTTGTTGTTGTTGATAATACAATTGCTGTAACCTAGGGCTACCTCTACTTCTACAACTCCTAAGCAACTTTGCGGTACTCCGTATTGTTGTTTGTCCCTCATGGTTATCATCTTTATTGTACTCAACTATGTTATTGTTATTGTAGTTGTTGCTATTATTATTGGCAATATCACATACAAAAGCTCGTGCTGCACGACGGGTAAATTTTGAAATATTTATATTTACTTCTACAATTTCAGTAAGCGACTTAGTACTATTATTTTGTTTATTAAACGCACATTTTTTGATTTTCTGCGACTGCGCCTGAGTTGTGGGCGCACCAGCATGCAATAGCTCCATGGCGGCGGCGGCGGCGGCAGCTGCAGTGGCAACTGCTGAGGCTTTCGTTTTCATATCCAACGCTGTACCAAGTTGATTTCCACCGCTTACACTCATCTCACCACCACCACAACTGGGCGTATCAGAGTCGGGGGTCGCTACGCGTAGTCTCGTTTGCGAAGAGCACGACGAAGCGCGTGAAGAGTGTGTGGGCGAAGGCGGCTCAATGGTTGCTGTTGGTTTGTTGACGACTTCCGGTAAGATGCTGGGTGAGGAAGCTGGTGATGATCGCAAAGAGCTTGGTGATGTTGATACTGCCGATGTGTTCGACTTTTTAGTTGTTCTCGTTTGAGTTGAGCTATTCGGTGAGTAAAACGCAGTTGGGTTGGCAAAAGCGATACTAGCTCTCAGCGCATCCATTCACAAAAATTGTGTATAAATGTTATTAACGCTTTAATTGACGTGAGTAGCACAATGAACATATGTATGTATGTGTGTGTGTGTATTTCAGCTCTTAATATCAGTTTTGTTATATGGACCACTTTAAGCCTCTACTCATTAATATCTCAAGTACTCACTAACACTATGAGTATATTTATATAAATGTGCATACGTATGTTTGTATGTATATATGTTTGTACATTCAATTGGTTTTCTCAAAAGCCTCCCCACACAAATCCAATCTTCGTTTTGTCTTGCTAATTCTTCCTCAATCACTCACTTTTCCTGTGGATTTGTTGTGTTCTTATTTATCTGGCTTTCCACTTTCTTCGAGTGTTCTCACTGGTACTTCCTATACTTTGTCCGATTTTCACTTTTTACTACCCTCTCGCGACCAAGTTTAAAAACCAACTAATAAAATCCAGGCAAAACGCCAATGAACTAACCATCCACCCGAGCCCAAACCGAGCTGAGTACGTAAACAAGGCAGCAACGCCAGCGCCAAAGCCAAAATCAGCGCGACGACCAACACACAACAAACACCAACAGAAATGAACCAAATGTGTGCGATATGTATGAGAAATACTATAATAATAATAACAACAACAACAATAAAATATTCATTTAACACTGCTGATTGCTAGGGCTGAGCGCGACAATCGCCTTTATAATAACAACAAATCACGCTTCAAGCCGACGCAGCAGTCGATCACAAGCCACAAAGCGAGAAACCCACAATGGCAACAGCGGAAAAGAAGGAGCAGAAAGAGAGAGGAGGCCTTATGGATGAGCCAGCCAACTAGTCAGCCGTGAACGATCGCTCACAAAGCGCAGAGATGAACATGTGTATGTACATATTGGTGTAATATATATGTATGAAGCGATTATGTATATATATATGCATGCGCGAGTGTATGTGCTTAAAGAAAACGAAATGCGCTCGGAGGCGACGACGGAAAAATACCCCTCAAATGTGTAGAATGCCATTCGGCCGTTGATTTGAACAGGCTTACTTGTTGTTGCTGCTCTTGTAGGCATTGTTGGCTGTTAATTTTCGCGTTCACGGCTGGTCTATGCTGCGCTTGCAAACCAAACTAACGGCGCACAAAACGAGGAAAAGCAGTGTGCGTCAGTATTGTTAATTGCTCGGCTTTGTGTATGCAAAGGAAGGAGAAAGATTACCACGAAATATTTGCTGGGCAATGAATCATAGCCAAGTATCCAAAAGCTGAAAGGGCACGAAGCATTCGGTTCCCAGATAGCTTTGTAGAACGCTGAGTAGTTCGGACATCAGCCGATAGCGCTCATATACGTACACATATATACACATAAACATCACAATTTAAAATGAATATTCACAAAAATACCAACAACATTTCAAAGATCTATGCATATTACAAATGTATATATGCATGTTTGTCTGTTTGTAAATGACCAAAGCAGCAGCGCGAAAATTCTATACCAACACACAACAAACACCAAAAGAACTCGGCTTTAAATTGCTTTTGTGTTGCCTGTTTACATCTTCTTTGTGTTCGCTGATGTTTTTGTTGCTGCTGTCGTCGTCTTACAGTCACTCGTCTCCGACGATGTTCCATCTTGCTCGCTTTCAATTGTTGGAACACTTTTTTGGCACTTTATTCCCTGCGCCGTTTATTATTTGCACGCAATAACGGCGTCGACTCGGCTCACTACTTTAGCTGGCTGACTGATTTGCTAGCTGGTTCGCTGGCTTGGCTGACTCGTCAGCGGCCTCATATCAACGACGACGACGACAACGGCTACAACGAATAAACTCAGCTGGGAGAGTGCGCCTACTGCAACCCTCATTCGTGCATAACCCAAATGACACATTTCTTTAGGGTCGTTCTACAATAAGAACACAGTATGAATTTTTACTACGGATATTTTTGATATTTTTTTATTCTTTGCTTGTAGTAGGTATTAATTTTGTTCCTAAATCAAATTTAATTAAGCTTAACAGTAATGTTAAAATGCTAGCCCAACAGATATCTAAGATTGTCCATTTACAGTGACACATCAGGAGGGAATGTCAATCCGAGCGAGTGTATATTTTTGTAAAAATTGCGGAGCTACTCCTAAAAATCCATCGCCTCTCCTTCTTAATTAATGCATTAAGATATTGGCATATTATTTCAGAAATACACTCAGAGTAATGGCCATTTTCATCACATTTTCACATTGAAAGGTATTGATCCGGTCGAATAATTAATTTCCTTAACTTTTTATTATGAGCAACTAATATCCGGCTAAAGTTCATCCAATCATGTAACACCTTTTTGAGAACTTAATCAAGTTATACTAAAAATGTGCCGCTTTGTCTGCCAAGTCTGATGGGTGCACATCCCATATTAATGCACGTGATTAAATTAAAGCAAAGCCAACGAAAACTAGGCTAAGTCTTAGACTTATGCTGGACATAATTGTAAATGCTAAAAAATTAAAATTTTTCGAAATATTTATTTGGAATGGATGTTGTTTTTATTATGATTTTCAATAATTGCCAACTGTAGTATTCTTAAAGGTATACAATTGGAATAACCATCACTTTTAGTTGATAAATACCTAAAAATAATTTTCTATACAAAAGTAACAGAGAAATAGCTTTTTAGGGTCTCGCAGAGCACAGTCGGATTCAAATTGAAAGCATAGCTAACCGTGCGACCTTAAGATTGTTCCGAGTATTTTAATACATTTGATCCTTCATTGAAGAAGAAGTCGATGGTGATATTTATAGAGAATTTAGATATACAACTATGTTTTTGCATTTGTGAAAGCCTTAGAGAAATGAAAACACCCATCAGGGGAAATTTGAATATAAGTGGATAAATATTTACAAGCAAAACGAGTTGTTTCGAACAGAAATTTGTGGATACTTCCAACTGTAAAATGTGTTCTATGTTAAATTTACTCATGATTACAATTTAATTATGGACTTTTCAAACGTTTTTGCTTGAAAAAATTGAGGATTAAGAAAAGCAATTTATGAAAATTTTAAAATATTCTGTGCCATATTTTCTTAAGGAAATTATATAGTATGTAGTAAACTTCTTAAATATTTGATATAACTCTGAAATATTCGTTTTCTTTTGCACCCAATCTATAAAAGAACATTAGGTCGACGTCAAAATGATATGGTAAAAAACAATACAAAATAAGCGTTTTAGTTAAAACGCTTAAACGCGGTGTAACAGAAGCGATCACTAGGAGAACAATTTACTTCGTGTAAACTATGAAGAAAAGAACTAAAATTACTGTAAACCATTATTCCATAATGCTCTCAGACCGATCTGCCCGTTTACAGCCAATATATCACTCTATTCTTGTAGTAGTAAATATTTTGATTAAGGGTTTCATATCTATTATGTATTTCTGTTCGATAATTGGTCAATAGTAACCTAAAGAGTATCGAAAAAAATAGTATGTGTTATGAAACATATTTGAGATACATACATATGTGTTTTTGGTCAAATTACTAGCCTTCACTTAAAGAAATTCTCAACTGAATCCTTCGAATATATTTTTCAGCCAGTTAACCCCTGAAAGTATACAAGATTACTAAGCAACTTAAGATATTAAGAAAATTTCGACTAAATTAGCGCACTTCATAGTTTTTGAGTAACAATGAATTGAATAAAGCAACAACATATTATATGACTAATATTGAATCCAGTGGAATCCATAATCCGTTGGTTCGATCAGTGTCAAAAGAAACAGCTCCGAAACAGCTATCACTTTAACTATTTTTCAGAATTGTCGGTTTCGTAGTGAAGATCAGCCAGAAGCATTGCAGGAGCTACCAAGGCATCCAGAAAAAGTCACAGTTTATACGATTTATGGGCAGGTGGCATCATTGGACAATGATGCAAATCGTAACGTAACTGTGAATGGTGAGCGCTACCGTGAGATGATATGAAACTTTTATACCCAAAATGGAAGAGCTTGACTTGCATGACATGTAGTTTCAACGAGATGGTGCCACATACCACACAGCACGCGTAACAGTGGACTTATTGAGGCGAGTTCGATTTATATTTCATTTCACGTTCGGGATCGGTCAATTAACCGCCTAGATCGTGCGATTTAACGCCTTTAGACTGTTTTCTGTGAGGCTATGTTAAATCTTATGTCTATACAAATAAGCCCGATTCAATTGACGCATTGGAGGACAACAGACAACATTGAGATACCGACCGAAATGTTGGAAAGAGTATGCCAAAATTGAACTAAGCGGATGGACCGTTTGAGGCGCAGTCACGGTCGACTTTTGCATGAAATATTCTTCAAACAATAAATTACATTGACAATTTTATCGATTCAAATAAAGATTTCATAAAGTTTTCTGAATTGTATGTGTTTTTTTTTTCTGGAAAACTTTTCCATAGCTCTTAAAAAATTACGTCTTATATAAAAATATGTATTTAAGTTATATAAGCGAACGCATATTAACCTATAACAACATTTAAAAGTACAAGCGGCAAGACCAGCTATAAAGTTCTCTCATATCAAAATAAATTTGCAATTGCTAATGGTTGGTTGGGTTATTCAACCGAGTGCAATTATTTTGAAACCCACGATCTAAGTGCTCTTCTCTATTCAATTAAGCGTGAGCGAAAGCATGAATTTGCTGAGCATATTAAGAAAATATACATATATACGTATATATGTAAAGACATATATGTATGCCTATGTAAGAATTCATTTATTTATATACAGGAATGTGAATTTGACGGGAAACGTGGACGCGTAGATATATACATACATATCTACATTCATATGTAGTAGACAGAGGTTTGTGTATTTGGACAACAATGAGGGAGGCTTGAGATGTGTTTAAAACGCCTTAACGCTGTATTACGAAAATTAAATATGGCATGCCAAATTAAGAAAAAAATCAGTATTTATGGCAAATGAAATGAGAATTACAGAGAAGTATAAGATTTTAGGTCACTAAATTACGACTTTATTAGAGCTTAATTGCAATATTAATTTATGCTATACATACGTACATATGTATATCTACATACATACATACTACATTGTACCAATAGTATTAACATATTTTTTGATCAGTGTTCTTAAGCTTCACCATTGCCATATTCATTTACCTCTGACCTTTAACATTAACTGTTAACGATTTAACATTATCTGTTAACGATTTTACATTGTCTGTTAGCGATTTAACATTAACGACAGCACTTCTATTCGGCTAAAACCGAAATAAAATTTATGTTGATACTTGCTTTAACGTTTACCTTATTTTCAATTTTGTGAGCCGAATCGAGTGAATTTTTTTGATTAACGTGAAATTTCTCTTAACGATGCAGCCATGGTAGAAACCAATTAATATTTGGACGCAAAAGCAAACAACATAGGCGGTTTGCCGACATGCGTACTGCAACGAAGACAAACCATGCCAAATTCATGGGATCATCCCTTTCATTTTCTCATCCTCGTTTTGTCGTCTAATATGTAGAACGCATTAATTAAGTATATAATCCTCCCTTAAAATTAACCGAATGGGGTTTGAGGAAAGAAAAGTTCAAGCAACCCGTAGCATAAATATCATTTTTGTTAATAGATCGTTTTCGGGCTTTATACTCAAAAAGCAAATAAAACCAGAAATAAGATTTGAAGTAACTCTTTTCTGCATCTTAATCGGAATGATAAGCCATCAAGCCATTATTATGCAAGTGATTCCAATAACAAATAAGATTTTCTCATATAAATCGGTCCCTGGCTCACTTTTTTTAAATACACAAAATTCATTAAATAAAAAATCAGTCGAATCAGTGCAGTGGTTCCCAATTCTGGTAATTGTAATATATTTATAGATTGGTATGTGGAAGAGTGTTTCCCATTAAGCGAGATCGTATATGACAACGTCTGATGCCAGCTGTAAATTTATGGAATGGACCAGGACAATCTGGTATGAGATCTCTGACCACTTCCTTAAAAAGGTTCTAAAAGTTTTTTTTTTATTAATTCAAACAATAGATAAAATTTGTTGGTATAGATCCGTTCTGGATACAATTCCCGGAAACAAGAGTCGTATTCATGCTAACCTAAGAAAAAATCTACTATGTACTAAACTTCGTGTAATACGATTTATTCCCATACCTACCCGATATGCACACGAATTTTCATATATGTATATCGGTCCAGCCGATATAAGCATTTATAAAGAGAATCACTGACCGCGCAACCCACAGCCAGAGCCATTGATCGTAGAGACCTGAAGCGAGTATTCTATGTATGACGTATTCCCACGATAGGAATAGATTTTCCGGGAAGGGGATCAAATTGGTTTGATTTACATGAAATTCGGTACATCGGA